AATAGTTCTTTTCCTCGACGAGATTGCGGTAGTAGCTCAGATCGTAGGAATCGAGAGCTTCTTCCATCGACGCGCCCTGAAGCGAAGGAGGAGGAATGTTGACGGTGACTGGTGACACGATGAGACCCTACATTGTCCTCCTTACGAAGTTCCTTCAAAAGTTTCATGTCGCTCTCACCACGGGGCCTGATGACGATGATGATGGGTTTAGCAATATATGAAAAAGATATCCTATTACTTCACTTTATCCTCAATACCGTGGAGGAAGTCTCTGACCGTTGGCGCATTCTTGGCCATTTTAAGCTCAGTGGCAAAATCAGCATGCGAAGGAAACCCCAAGATTCCAGCCTGCCACCAGGGACAGTAAGGGCACCCCCCTTGTCGAAGTCGCTCACCCTCTCCTTCCTCAGCTTCACGAGCTCAGCAAGGATCTCCGTATTTTCATCAGCACAACGATTGTTGAAGGCGCTGAGAGATGGAAGAGGTATTAAAATTCAAATGATTTTGGATGTCTACAAGTCCATTTTTCTCCTGGTCTCACGGACCTTGCACTTCTTGGCTATGGGGATGTAATGGGGGTACTTTAGTGTAACCTGAGGATGAGGGAAAAATGGAGGTGCCGGGGATCGAACCGGGGTAGTACCTTGTATTTGCCGGACTCTGTTTTATCCAAGGTCTCGAGGAAATCGTCGGGCATGCCTTCCAACTCCTCCTTACTGAACTCCAGTATCTATCAGGGACCCCGATCAACAGGAATGCAAAGTTGTTCAGCAGCAAAAAATCGAAATCACCATCCTCAGAAAATAGAATTGTCTACGGGGACTCATTTATACGTCTTACTAGTCGATTCCAATATGCAATGAAAACGACTTCGACGAGTCAATACAGATTGTTAATGGAGTTCAGATTATTGTGGTAGTGATTATTACAGTATTTTCCTCGCCGAGATTTTTACTGAACTTGATAGAGAGCTCGGACATTCTCTTCTTTATCTTCTCAATTTCCTCCCTAGTAGCCTCATCCAGATGAAGGCCATTACGTTTGCCTTCCTTGATAGACCGATCGAGCAACCTTGTAAGTGATACACTCCCCCACCGGCTCCCTCACAAAGCCCCTACCTTTCACTCTCCGCATCCATCTCAGGGTGCTGGCCCTGCAGGGCTACTAGGACATCAAAGACGTCCTTACGCATGGACATC